CAAATCACGAAAGAGATTGGAAATAATGCGCTGAACAAATGATGGTACTGTTTTTATGCCGAAACAACATTTTCGAAAGACGTATTGTCCCGTGTGTGTGGTGAAGGCTGTGAATGGCTGTGATTCTCTAGCAATAGCAAAACGAGTAAAGCAGCTTTTTAAATCAAGAACTGTAAAAATGGAGCAATGTGATAATTGTTCATGGATCTCATCTATGCGAGGTAAGCTGAACGCATCAGATTTAGAGGCGATGAGATGCTGATTGAGGAATCGCATGTCGGCACAGATTCTGACTTCGGAGCCGTAATTACCTGCAATGTCTCGCTTCTTTGCGAAAAGAATGGGATTATTATGAGGTGTGTTAGCGTCGGCTAAAGTAATAGTTTCTTCCTCGAGCCAAGCCTCAATTTGTTCGTTTAGTTTAGACTTATAGGCTAAGGGTAATGGATATTGTTTACGGAAGATGACTGTGTTCTCAGGGAAATGGAGTGTAACTTCCGAGTTAGGTACTGTACAAACCGATTTAGGATCGATGGAAGCATTAGAATGTAATACGATCTCCAGTGATTGTAAGAATGTGGATCGTTCTGTGATAGAACCGTAATATTCGTATGTAGGTGTGTTGGGTAATGGGTCAATAGGGTCCTCGATTGTAGGTAAACTATTTTCGTCCCATGTAGTAGTGAGCCCAGTGATGTTAATGTTCATTTTAGACATAAGGTCGGTACCAATGCAAACATCAGCTTCACTATTCAGATTAAAAACTTCGAAGGTATGATGGATGTTAAGATTATTATAGAATAGATGAACGTTGTCAATAAAACCAATACGCTCGATGGAGCTATTAGCATCGCCCAAAGAAATAGTATGACTTTTAGATTGTGACAAAGATGTCGTATGTGGTATAATAAGTTTTGGTAAGGAGGGTGTCATGCCCAATTTGGAAGCTAAAGAAGGCTTTAGAGAGGAGAAATTGGAACCAGAGTCGACGTAGGCCCAACATTTATAGCCCTGAATAGTGACAGGAATAATGATAGAATTTGTAGAATCGTTGAGAGGAGCAGGCTCATCATTAATGGTAATGTTAGACTTATTGTGGACTAATTGGGGAGATGAAACGTCCTCGTCTTGGACGAAAGGAGACGTAAGAGTGTGAGCTTCGTCAATGTGGCTCCTGGGAGTCGAACGTTGAGAGGAAGGATGTTGATGAACATCAAATTGATTATTTTTTATGTGCATGGCACGTTGTGTAAGTTCCTGCATGTGAGGAGCAGTGATAGGTGATTCCGGAGCACCAGAATCGTATAAGAAATACAAAGCGCTTTGGGAATCATTAGCACCAATTGCTGTAGACGTACAGTCTTTCATCTCCGTATCGCCTTGGTCAGGAATGCCTTGAAGCCCTCCAGTGGCAGGGTTCATCATAGAAGTAGCAGGAGCAAGAGCAGGGGTACAATCGGTAGTGGAAACAGTAGGGTCGGTTGTAGACATAAAAAAAAAAAAATTAATAAAAAGATAACTTATAAGAATTCAAATAAAAAAATGAAATATTCCAAGAAATAAACGGTTAAATTATTTGAGACTAAAACTAGATATCTTTTTATTAAATGGAAAAGGGGATCCTTTTTATAAGGAAGGATTGAAATAGATTGTTATCCGGGAAGATCAGATGGGAGCGTGGATTGGAAGTAGACATTAATATCTTGATCAGTTAATGGTTTATGTTTCAGTGCTGGGTTGCTATTAAATGTCAAGTAGATTATAGGCTGGATATATAGTGTGTATATATCATGACCATGATGAACCTCTTCAAATATGGAAAATGACCAGTAAAATATGACCAGAGACAGACATAATCAGAGGAACTACGATAGTGACCACACGAAGACCTCAGAAGAACAGCAGTATCACTTACCTGAAAAAATATGGTTTACGTTAATAAGAGAATAAATTATCATGTTTAGCAATGTGTACCTTTACAAAACCGTGGGATGTACGAGCCTCAAATAAACAGTAATATCAATCAGCTTTAAAAAGTTGGGTTAACTTAATAATAAACAAGTATACCAAAGTCAAGTTATTTACCTTTCCACAAGTAATCAATGTATTGATTCCTTTAGCTATAAAAATGCGCTAATAGATATAAGAAAGTAGTTAGAGTTCCTTACCGAGCAAAGAGCATTGGTCTGATCCTAAATTAGAAAGTTGTAACACGTTTATTATTAGTCACATAACTAAATCTAAATTAATTTAAAAATGGTTATGATGAATCAAATACCATTAACTATTCGCATATACATACATTAACCTGGAAGAAAAAGAAAAGAGGAAAAAGAATAAGAATAAAAAGGTATAAAAAACAAAGTTTGTTTAAATAAGAAAAAAAAAAAATTCAGACTCAATTCCTTTTTTTTTGGCAACGCCGTTGATTATTTTCTACAGCAACTGATTCATCAGTCTTGTAAATGATAGATTCAAGGCACTCTCCTATTTTTTTTTTTTTTTTTTTTTTTTTTTTTTGCAAATCTAAATTCATGTGTGCTCACTTAAAGTAATTTGGATGTCTCGGCCTGTTGAAAACTGGTACGTGTGTAAACGTTTGTTCTTTTTTGACTTTACATATCAAGAAAGTACTCCAGGCTCGAACTTCGTTTTTGGTGAACTTATAAAGAATCATGACGTTTCCCCTTATTCAAAGGCCATCCCGCGCATGATAAGGCAGAGCAAAAAAAAATTGTCGTCTTTGATGCGAAGGACCTTGTGTCTACTATTGGGTTGGTGAATGGGGTCGACAGGTCTAACAACAAATATTCAATAAAAACTGGTAAGGCTTTCAAAGTCGATAAGAGTAGTATTACCAGCAGTGTTGGAAAATCATTAAAACCCACAGTCACATGTCCCCTTTTCTCATTTTACTTACGTAATCTGAAGTTGTCTTTTTCTTACCCTGGCTATCATCCCCATAAACATTTTTTTTCTTTAAAAAAGCACGTTTATCTATTAACATGGTATTGCTACATCTATTTATTTATGTATAGGTTGTTTTTATAGAGATTTGAAAATTTGGCTTTGCGATCAGCGATCAAAAAATCAAAAATATCGGAGATATCGATATTTTCGATTTTTTGAGCGATATCGCCAATATCGATCAAAAAAAACATTTTGATTGCTGATTTATTTTAGGGTGTATACCGGGGAACAAATAACTTACTCATGCACATCCACAATTTTTCGCGCCTTGGGGTCATCCAAAAAACTTTTCTTGTTCAAGGGGTTTGTGCAACCTGGAGTTACGCACTTCAATTTATCATCTCTAGTATTTAACAATGCATGAGGCAGCCAAATAAATACTTTAGGCAAATAAAGGGCTTCCGGGGAGGGCCTTTTTGACAAGGCGAAGTTTGACATCATAGGATTGATCCAGTATGTACCGTTCTTGTACGGATTACGCACATCACATTCTAATTGGATTTTTTGAAGATACTTATCCAATGGACCACCCTTGGTGATTCTGCCTGCATCTTCATCAATATTCAAAAACTCTTCTTCAGTTATTTCATACTCCTCTTCCACAATTGCACTGTAAAATATACAGTTAATCTAAAGTCCCAATTATTTATATAGGCCTAATCTATAAACTCTTACTCGTCGGTGCTTTCTTCATCCACAAGGTAATGTATTCCTTCGACCTCGGACGTAGCGCTTTGCTATAATTAGAAAATATGTTTTTAGCTTGATTCGACTAAAATAATGTTGGGAGTTTACCTCAACTTGTACACTGTTTGGTATTATGGAATCTCCGGAAGATGTGGATACTTCAGGTTCATCCAACGACCCTTCATGGACAAGAGATCCATCTAGGGTACTTTGATCATCAATTACTTCACATTTTTTTGATAAAAAATTCAGAATTGATTTATTCCTCTTGGGAAGAGTAGACTTTCCAAGACTTTTTTTTGTCGGTTTCATTTAATATGTAATTGAAGAGAGAAAAGTGTTATGTACAGCATTCAAATCAACATTTATAGTGATTGATCCTCGTGGCAATATCCACTGCGGGTACGAAAGTTACAGAAAATACAGACATTTAATTGGCTCTGAATCTCAACTTACAGAAATTTAAGAGAGAAGATTGGCTTGAGATTGAAATTTACAGAATTTATTAAAATTTGGTTGGGTGAAAAAACTACAGCCATAAGGAGAGAGCCTGGAGAATTTCATTGTAGAATGGTGCTGGTGTATAAATTTACGTGATCAGGATCCAGTAAGTCAACTGTCTGAGAAAGACAGTTCAGTTTCGTTTACATCCAGTTCTTTTTGGGAAACTAAGCTAGCAGCTGTATACAATGTGATGAACGGCAGATTTGGATAATTAGAAGGAATGTCTAGACTTCCTATTTTTTTAAAACGTTTTTTTTTTACATACCACTTACACAAATTCTGGCCAAGGCCAGCAGGCCAGTATAATTGCACCTATTTAGAGTCCAATCCCAGCTATTCACAGTCCGTGAGTTCCAAAGCCCAAGAACCCAACCTAGGAGACCACCATACTTTAGCAAAGACTATGTGTGGCTGTAATATCGCAAGAATTGCAATGTATACTTTCATTCAAAAAAAAAAAGAGAAGTATGTTAAAGGAAAAGCAAAAGGGAAAAAAGTGTGTGAACGAGTCTTATAGGATGACACAATGAAAAAGCTGATAAACAAGAGCTTATGTCAGAATGATTTAATTGCTTATTTAATCAGCCATAGTGTTTGAACCTTTACTTAAAATGGAAACATTTGCGAACTTGGTAGTTGTCTATGTGGTATTTGACAAAAATAATACACTTAAGAAATAATGAGAAAAAGTATATCTTGGATCCTTTTTATAGATCTATTCCAAAACCAGAAAGGTTGACTCATCATAAAAACCCAGGAGAGTTGTGCAATATAAGCAGATCCCTCTATTACACCAACATAAAGTCCATTTGCCGCATGATTGCCTAAAAAAAAATGTACTACGAGTTAGAGAAAAGAATCATCCACTCCTTAAGAAATAATATATTACCGGTAAGCTGTAAGGCAGGGACTGAGATGTCTTTCGCTCTTCTTGGGTCTTCTTTAGCAATTTTATCTAATACAGCTTTTGACTCAACTAGCAACTTTGTTCTATCGCTTGTAATTTTTACAAGTCCAGGGTCAATTCTCGAAATTTCACAGTTAGCCTTATCGGCTTCCTTCTTTCTTCTCGAAAGTGTATCCTTAACCACTCTTAGATCGACTTTGAAGCCTAGATTATCTGAGCTATCTCCAGAATCACC